AATATTTCCATTTTAGCAGATAGAGGTCGGGCTCTTCTTTGACATCTGAGAGGGCGTTCAGACTTACCTTCGAAGGCGTGCAGCAGCATCTCCTCGCCGATGTCCTTATACACCTGTGTCTGAGAGGTGAAGCCGGGGTCATCGGGCTGCAGGGACACAAACACATGGCACTGTTATCACTGATTTTGGGTTATAATATTGATGTTTTCTGTGTGTGAGAGAGAGAGTGTGTTATCACCGTTGTGTGTGACCAGTAAGAGTAGTCAAAGGTGAAGTTCTTGGCTCCATCTTTGGGCTGTTTGGGGTTGGAGATGCCTGGAAAGAATCATAAAAGAAACAACCTTCACTGCATGACTGTCTGTGGACACACTCCAGTTTTATTTATTTTCTCCTCACTTTCAAATGTGGAGGCAACAAAGTGTCACTGCTGAAGTGGGGACATCTGCATGTGACCACTCCCAGCATTCACAGAATATATGACGGGCTCGGCATATAAGTATTTGTCAGATGGACACACAGCTGCTAATAACAGCCCTGCTGCAGCAAAGTCTATTAATAAACAGCCTGTGTGTGTCCGTCAGTTTATGCAGCAATAGGATCAGACGTCACATGACGTTCCCATGGGAACGTTGAGGCCATAAAAACCCCTAACCCACACAAGGGTTAGGTAAGGAGAGCATCAGCATTATTTATTAAAATCAAAGTGACTGTTAGCTTCAAGCTAAATGCTGTTATGTCTATTCCAGTTCAGGGACTTTTTTATTCTTTAGTCACATTAAAGTGATGTCACAGCTAATTCTGCGACGAGCAGGTTCACAGCTTTTACATTGAAGGTCAGTTTTAACTTCATTAATGCTCGTGACAGAAGATTAACCTCCAAAACACCAACATGGGCGCTGCCACAATGCTACACCTGAAGCTTTAATATGTGTAGAGGCTATATCCATGTTATACACAGTTTATGATTCAAGGTCACAATAAAAATCCTCATTACATCATAATAAAAACTCTGTTCTCTTAGCCAGTGGTGTGTCCTCATCATGCTGTGTGTTATTATGAGGACAGTGACAGCCTCTCGTTACCTAAAATCTTTGTAATATATTTCTATGGTTTCTAATTTATTTGTCTTTCTGTATCTCTTTGAGGACGTCTGTATGTTTCAGATCCTGCGAGGACGTCTTCAGGTTACTGTCTCAGCGAGGGGCCCCATAAATCCTAAAGGACAGAACGTGTGTGTGTGTGTCATTCTTACAGGTGGTGTTTCCCTGCATCTGGATCACACACTTTGCGTTGCGTCCTATCTCTCGGGAGTTGAACGGGCGGACTCGCACCGCCACCTTCACTGATGCACCCGCCATTTTCCAGCTCCGCCCACCACCTGAGGACAGCCAATGAGAAAGCACGGTTTAAAAAAATGGTCATAAACACACAGAACAAAATCCAAATCACACAGCACACAGAGGGTTTCTTCACCACTTTTGTCAATTTTAGTGTCTTTCTGCTGATCCTTTAGTCGTGTTTCTACTGTTTTTATTGGGTTTTTAATATCTATTTTTTCCATGGACCTCCAGCCTGCTCAGACCACTTTTCCTCCTCTTTCCCAGCACTCCTCCCTTCATTTTACGAGCCGGGTTTTTCCTCATTCCCGCTCTTTTCTTTCCCTCCTCTTCTTTTTCCAGTCCTCAGTTTTCCATTCCCCCGTCATCCTTTTTTCCTTCACACATTTTCCTTTCCTCTTCTTCTCTTATCTGTCCTCTTCCATACAGTTTTCACCGCTTACTTTTCCCCTCGTCCTTAAGTTTTCCTCGACTCTCTAAGCTGCCTTTTCTTTTCTTTCTTACGGTTTCTGCCTTTCTTATCCTCTCCCATTCATCTCCATCTTTCCTTTTCTTCCTCCTTTTCTTGTTAATGCACTTTCTTACTTCCTCTATTCATCTTTCTGCCTTTCTCCTCTTCCCTTTGCTTTTGTTTCCCAGCTTCTCTCGTGCTTTTATTCATCTTTCTTACCTCTAACTCATCCAAAGCATTCAAACAATGTTTCCTCCTCTCTCCCCCTTTCATTAGCGTCTCCTGAGCTCCTCCCTTCATTCTTTCCCCTCTCTTGACATTCCTGTTCTTCCTCGTCTCCACAAGGCTCTTT